GCACAAACACGTACGTCTTCCCAGTAACACTCTCTTTTTGCATTGGTCCCATCAAGTCATGTGAACTAAATCCATAATGTCAATTGACTGCACATCAAGAACCTTTTTGTGTTGTATCTTGACTTGCTTCCCTTGACTACAAGGTCCACATACCATCTTCTCTTCATCTTTCATTTTTAGCACTCCTTTGACTATATCTTTGTTTACAAGTGTAGTCAAATTTCTCATGTTCATGTGTCCAAGACATTGGTGCTACAAATAGATATCATCTTTGACGGTTAAGCAAGGTTAAGAATGTCTTTTCCACATGTAATAGTTGATCCCTGATCTTACTCATCTCAAGTAAATGTCTTTTTCTACACTTATCAGATTGGCTTTTAATCCCTGAACTAGATAGACATTCATTAGTTGTGGTAGATCAGCATCAATAGTCTTTCCTTTTCCATGAAATGCCATGTCCTCCATCTCCAAAAGTTACATTCCCTCATTTGATCTTCTTTACATCTTGTAAATTACTTCTTTTTCTAGTCATATATCGAGAACATCCATTATCAAAGTACCCTGGACCTGTATTTTTAGCTTCTTCTGTTACAAGAGCCATGTTGCATCTGAGTCAGAGGCTTGTAGTACTTTATGTATATCTTTTTACTCCCGGCTGACACACATAAGAATTTTTCATCCAAACCTGTCTTCGAAGCCTATTCCAGAAGAACTTCCCTTGATGCTTGAGTTGTTATACTTTATTCCAGAACTTGTAGCTGTATCTTTTGAAATGTCTAATTTTACCGCAGTAAAAGCAACTGAAAGTCTTCCTTTGATCATTAATAGAATCACGATGTTGGTTCATTCCTCCTAACACAAATCTGGTGTGGTCTGTATTAGTCCCACTTCAATCATTATAGCCAAGTCCTCAGTGTGTTTTCTCTGTTCTGCCATAGCTGAGAATCTTGTGAAGCTGTTTTGTTCTAACAAACATATGAATTTTCTTGTGTTGATGATCCAATTCTGACTGCAACTTTGCAATCACACTTTTCTCAGCTTGTAGTTCTTCTTCTAGCAACTTAGATATCTAGTCGTTACTGAACATGATCGCTACTAAAAACAATCACTATTTATCCTTAATTAAAATAATCAATGTTAGATGGATCTAAATCGATGTGAACATTCTATTTTAACAATTCCGATTTTATATATCTTGTAAATAAAATCATGATATCCTATCCAAAATAACAAAATAATAGTGTATGTCCCATCAATTTTTCTTCTTTTCTTTTTAAATATTTCAAAATATTAAAATTACAAAGTCATAAGCTTTATTTTGTTTTAGAAAATAAGTATAATCACTTTTGTCTTATAAGTACCTTAAAAAAAATAACAATCTAGATGAAGAAGAAGTGTGAATCACACTGCGCACCGACACACTGTAAAAGCGTCGCAGAGTATAATTACCCAACCCACCCACGATTTTCTTGATTTTCGTTATTCGCTCTCTTTGCGAACGCATTAAGCAACATCGCAGTGATACACAGAGAGAGAGAAGCTTTATCATCAGCGTGACCTTGGAGCGATTTCGAATTCACAAGTCCCTCTCGTACACATCTCTTCTAGATCTGACTCCGTCGTAGATCTCCTTACCTGGATCTGTCTCAGGTTTGCTTCCCCAATCTCTCTGACTGAGATCTGTTCGTTGTTTGCATCTCCTCTTCTTTCGCGTTTTTTTCCTGATTTGATTTGGTATTCTTCGTATTCGTATTTCATAGTCGTTGTTAGGTTCTGTGATTGTTTCAGTTTTGCGTTTATGATCCATTGAGATCTGATCTTTTGTTCCACCGATCTGATTTGTTATACGATTACTTTGATGACATTGATTGCGAATCTGGTTGCTACGAATCTGATCTGTTGTATTCGTTTTGATTTTTTCAGTTTCTTCTTGAGAATGCTTGTTCTCTGTGTATCACTATATGGATTTTTCAATGTGTTTCATTAGAATGTGCATGAATCTGTTACAGTAGGAGGGAAGGGTTACTAACGTGAGAGAGGTTTTTTGATATTTGTTTTTTTGTACAGGAAGGGACAATGTTTGGTGTGTATCGAGTTTTCGTGTTGCTGGTGTTTGTGAGTCAGCTTTGTAATGGGTTTTACCTGCCAGGGAGTTATATGCACACTTATTCAGATGGAGACTCTATTTTTGCCAAAGTCAATTCTTTGACTTCTATTGAAACTGAGCTTCCTTTCGGTTACTATAGTCTTCCTTACTGCGAACCACTTGAGGGTATCAAGAAAAGTGCTGAGAATCTTGGGGAGCTTCTCATGGGTGATCAGATTGATAACTCTGCTTATAGGTTTCGGATGAGAACGAATGAGTCTCTTTTCCTCTGCACCACCAGTCCTCTGAATGAGCATGAGGTCAAGCTTTTGAAGCAGAGAACCCGTGAGTTGTATCAGGTGAATATGATTCTTGATAACTTGCCAGCTTTGAGATTCGCTAAGCAAAACGGGGTTACGATCCAGTGGACTGGATATCCTGTTGGGTATTCGCCACCAAACAGCAATGATGATTACATCATCAATCACCTCAAGTTTAAGGTCTTGGTCCATGAATACGAAGGTAATGTCATGGAGGTGATTGGTACTGGTGAAGAAGGTATGGGTGTGATCTCTGAAGCTGATAAAAAGAAGGCCCTGGGCTATGAGATTGTTGGATTTGAGGTTGTTCCCTGCAGTGTTAAGTATGATCCTGTGAAGATGACAAAACTTCACATGTATGACTCTGTTCCTTCAGTTAATTGTCCACTGGAGCTTGACAAAGCTCAGATCATTAAAGAACATGAAAGAATTACCTTCACTTATGAAGTCGAATTTGTTAAGAGTGAGACAAGATGGCCATCCAGATGGGATGCCTATTTAAAAATGGAAGGTGCCCGTGTTCATTGGTTCTCTATTCTGAACTCGCTTATGGTGATCTTCTTCCTCGCCGGTATAGTTTTCGTCATATTCCTGAGGACAGTGAGAAGGGATTTGACAAAGTATGAGGAACTAGACAAGGAAGCACAGGCACAGATGAATGAGGAGCTCTCTGGATGGAAACTTGTTGTCGGAGATGTGTTTAGAGAACCAGAAATGTCAAAGCTTCTATGCATTATGGTGGGAGACGGGGTTCGAATTACAGGAATGGCTGTTGTCACGATTGTTTTCGCAGCTCTTGGATTCATGTCGCCTGCTTCAAGAGGAATGCTACTAACCGGAATGATCGTCCTCTATCTTTTCTTGGGTATTGCTGCTGGGTATGCTGGTGTTCGGCTCTGGAGAACCGTCAAGGGAACTTCAGAAGGATGGAGATCGCTTTCATGGTCCATTGCATGCTTCTTCCCGGGTATTGCTTTCGTTATACTAACAGTGTTGAACTTCCTTCTCTGGAGCAGCAACAGCACTGGAGCTATCCCAATCTCATTGTACTTTGAGCTCTTGGCTCTCTGGTTCTGCATCTCTGTTCCTCTCACCCTGTTTGGAGGATTCTTAGGCACACGAGCAGAAGCAATCTCGTTTCCAGTGAGAACCAACCAGATTCCAAGAGAAATCCCTGAACGAAAGTACCCGTCATGGCTTCTAGTCCTGGGAGCAGGAACCCTTCCTTTCGGAACACTATTCATAGAACTGTTCTTCATCTTCTCCAGCATATGGTTAGGGAGATTCTACTACGTATTTGGGTTCTTACTCATAGTCCTGCTCCTCTTGGTAGTTGTCTGCGCAGAAGTATCAGTGGTCTTGACCTATATGCACCTCTGCGTCGAAGATTGGAGGTGGTGGTGGAAAGCCTTCTACGCATCTGGTTCAGTCGCATTGTACGTTTTCGCGTACTCCATCAACTATTTGGTCTTTGATCTTCAAAGTCTGAGCGGACCAGTCTCAGCTATGCTTTACATTGGCTACTCTCTGCTTATGGCAATTGCAATCATGCTCGCCACTGGAACTATTGGCTTCTTAACCTCCTTTTACTTCGTCCACTATCTCTTTTCCTCTGTCAAAATCGATTGATCATACCTTTGACGACGAAATCTCAGCCATCGATCTCTGCTTTGTCTAAAAGCAAATTTCACAGGTCTTGTTATTTTTTTTTTGTCAGTACTAGACTTTTGTAGAGTCCACTATATTTTACATGTTTTTATTTTTTCCCGGACCTCTATATTCTCCTTATATGTTTTTTTTTTCTCACAACTCAATCTCTTATGTTTTGAACTTTTGAGTAGAAAATAAACAAATTTGCCTTTTTGCTTCTTGTTTCTTTTGGATTGTGTTTTCTTCTTCGCATTGGTTCCACAGATAAGTTTCCTGTGTCTGCTTTATATGTTGATCTGTTAGAGGAGACGATAAATCAATTTAGAGAAATATGTTTGTAAGTTAACGATAGAGACAAGCAAGTGAGAAAATAGTCTAAATCATCCCAAACTATTTCTATTCAGCTTCTTCGTGCCCATGGTATCGTGCAATAATCTATCTGAACCTACTAAAAATTCAAAGTTCCAACCTCAATTTTTATGAAATCAACCTCAATTTTTATGTAATCAGTCGATATAGTGGTTATGACATGGAATTTGGTATGAGTAAAAAAACGACGTCGTTTTGCTAATATTCGATTTTCTTAAGCTACACATAACCTATCAAATCGACATTATTCTCATTCGTTTTTCGACAATTGATCATTTCTCTCTCGTTTCTCGGCTATCCAGAAAAACAAATTATATGTTTTTCCAAATTCAAAATGACGTTATTGTTATATTTGGTTTAAGAAAATTGAAAATTGGCAAAATAACGTCGTTTGGTTCATCTCGATGCGTTGTTATAGCCACTGTTTCGTCTAACTCATCTCGAAAAGGTTAATTAACACTGTTTCGAGAGATGTCTAATTTCATAAAGTTGAGGTTGAAATTTTTTAATTTTTAGTAGGTTCAAGTTGGTAATTACCTCGAAATAATTTGAGTTAATTTTGGCCATTTTCCCGGTGAGAAAATTGATTATATTCAATGTAGCATTTGTTTCAGGCATAAGGTAAAACGATATATATGAGGAAGCTTACATTTTACAATCATCTGAATCTGAAAGATTTTGCCTATATCTATTATGGCATGTTAATCTCGTATTTGCATCTGCAACCAGCAAGAAAGAATGTAAAGATCTCTCATACTTGTGAATCTGTAGATTTGGCCTGGGCACATCCCAATTAATAACAGTTAAAATCCATGAAAATATCTCTTCAGGGAAGCCTTCTTCAACTCGGTTTAGCTTGTTGAATCTGCTGGAGAAGTGCTGCTGCTAGCTGTAATGTTGCCTGAAGACGCTTTTGTGGATTAGCATCAGTTTCTTCTTCTTGTTGGCTATTGCTGCTACCTTGAACCTCTACATTGTGATTTCCTGGAGATACCAATTGAGGTATGCTTGGTGTCTGCACGTGTTGCAGATGGCTGAAATTTGCTCGGCCTTCTGGTGCATATCTCTCAGGCAGAGAGGATGCTAAATGAGTAAGCTGTTCAGGCTGATGAAACCCTGATAGAACTGGAGTTTCCGTCTCATGATATCGACTATGATCTGCATTTAGCTGCCTCCCTGGAACAAACCCGCTATGCTTTTGAACAGTATGATCTATGAAGGGTTGCATCTGTGAACTTCTAGTGTTGGTATCACGAGGCGGCCAGTCCGATCCAGAATACCGGTTACTCAACTGATCATGCTTGCTCTCAATGTATGGATCCATGGATGCACTTTGACCGTCTCGAGCAGCAGTATGCAAAAATGCTGTTGGACCTGGAATACGTGGGTTTCCCACATCAGGAAAACCTCCACTAGCTTCTGTATAGGATGTTTCACCATAATAGGTTGGCAAGTCTGGATCTTTTCTCTCACCCTGCTGTTGGACAGGCCCCGATTCAGAACCACCATATTCTAACCGTAGAATAACTCCGGAGATGCTAAGTTTCCCAGGAACTTTAAGTACTTTTTCGGAGAAATCAGATGGAGGCACGAGGAACAACGTTGTTTTGTCATCCAATTTAGAAACAGCGGCCCGTTGCTTCTCCTCCAAATAATGCATAAATTCATTATAAAACTTGATATCAGCATCACTTCCAGGAACGAAGAAAACCACCCAAGCTTTAGATGATTGGTAGTAATGCTTGGCCAGCATGTCTAAACCAGTTCTTGCCGTGCAATCTAGATACTCAGGCCTGCAATTATAACAATAACAAAACAAGAAAATGAACTTAATCAGAAGTCTAAAACTAAGATACAAAAAGAAAATTAACTAAATCAACAAATTTCATCAGATGCCTGAACCAAAAAAAAAAGACTAAAGACTTAGAGCTACTTACAGCATCATGTCCATCACTTTGCCCACAGGAAAGCATTTAGCACGACATATGGGATTGCCTCCCTTTGCAATAGTCCCTTCCCAGTTCCAGTCCTTTAGTGATGGTCGATTCAGTTCAGGGGTGTACGTTTTCCTTTCAGAGACAATTGATGGCAGAGAATAACCTCCCATTAACTCGTCATGTGGTTCTCGTAAGCTACTCTTGTCCCCGTTCCTTCTAGCCAGATTTAACGGCTGCTCAACCGTTTGCTTGTATCTTAGCTGCCCAGCCTCATAGTTCCGCTCAAATGCATCTTGAGGGGAAAAATCAGCAGATGATCTGGAAAAAGGGCGTCTTTCTTGCTCTATACCAGAGAGCTGATGCCCTGGGAGCAGCCTCTCAGGCTGCACGGATCTTGTCTTCAGTCTCTTGGTTTCCTGGTAGTAGTAGTCATCTTCATGTAAATCCCATGGCTCTTCATACACTGAACTCCTTGACGGGAATCTGTGAGGATCATCACGCATTGATGAACCCATTTCCCTAGGACTACCACGATACTCATGCATATCCTGAGGAAATCTATGTGTAGCCCTCAACCTTCCATATGCCGGACCTCCTTCTGTCCTTGAGACTCCTTTCCTGATATACATGTAATCTTCAGAATCTTCCAAATCCCTATCTGCTATGTAATGTGGTTCCCTCACATTGGGATTTCTGCTGATGCTTCCATAATTTCTATCCTGAAGATACCCTTCTGAAGATCCCAGTCGATCAACAGATCTGTAAGGCGGAGAGAGTGATCTACTGGACGGACCTCTTCCACTGCTAGATGAGGAAGGTTCACTCTTTGCATAACAAATATGCACTCGAGGATTGCCAAATAACTTACCCTGAAGGGTTTCTTTCGCCTCACAAGCTGCCATCAAATTTCGGAACTGAACAAATGCATAACTGCGACCAGGGAATACCGTAACCTTTGTTATTTCTCCAAACGAAGAAAAAACCTCCCTCAAGAGCGTGTCGTCTACTTTCAACGAAGCCGGAAACCCTATATATAATACTTCACTAGGTTCTGCATTTCTATCAGTCATTTTTGATTTGCTATATGTGTCTGGGCTATCGTAACGCATTCTGGAGTCTTTTTGAACAAAAGATGACCCTCTTGCTGCAGACCGCTGTTCGTCATGACGAAATATATCTTCCGTGCGTGATCCAGCTGATGACTTTTCCTGCAATAAACAGTATCACAAAGATAGAAGTATTAAGCAACAGCCTAATTCACTGCATGATCAAGAATAAAAAGCTTCTCAATTTTAGAATAGCTATATTGGCTAAAAAAAGAAAATCATCAGCTTAAGTACCAACTCGTTTTTGAGTCCTGTAACTGAGAAGAATAGCTAGCATTGGTTGTAAAGCAATCACATAAAATTATTCTCTATAGTGACCCATTATGCTCCAGGAAAAAGCCGACATGACACAGAGCTTTTACCCATACAAGAAGAATACCCTTTGCTATGAGCAATATGGAAAGAAATGTAAAGATCAAAATAGAACCTGAATTAGGATTGTTGTTTGATGGTCTCCTGAAATTACCAGTTCACTTTATGCTAAAAAGATAGCATTCATATCACTAATATTAATTTAACCAAGAAAACAAAACATTGAAAAACATAGTCATGCTTGTGATGCCATAAGAACCGTTGAAGTCCACAGTTCGAACAATAAGAATGAGCATTTACCAAAAACAATAAGAATGTTGATAGGCTCTATCAAAGCTAATGAGAAGAATTTCAGCAGTGTGTCAATAAGGTACTTCAATTAACGAACTATATAGCTATGCGTCTACTGTTATTAAGAGTAATCAATAGATACAATCCAGTTCAAATTCATCACAGGAGCACTAAAAATAAGAATGAGCATTTACCAAAAGCTAACAATGTTGATAGGCTCTATCAAAGTTAATGAGAAGAATTTCAGCAGTGTGTCAATAAGGTACTTCAATTAACGAACTAAATAGCTATGCGTCTAATGTTATTAAGAGTATCAATAGATACAGTCCAATTCAAATTCATCACAGGAGCACTAAAAATTCATATACTATTTACATTCATAATTAGAGAATTAGATGTCCATCTGTGTAACACAGATGATCAATCTAACACAGCTGTGTAAAAATCCACGAGGCAATAATTACTGTGCCAACAGATAAGACGCTTCGGTCTCACAGTAAGTACCATGCATTAATATCTACAACATACAGCAGAGAGCAACGGAGCAAGTCTTTAAACTATTAACTGCTGAAAAAGTAATAAGTTCTTTCTATGGATGGAAGAGCTTCCTATGGTAAATAATTTTGAGTTAAAGATTATCCCAGCAATGTGTAAGTTACATATGCAGTTAACAACATAATGAGTTATCAGAAGACATATCCTAAACATATCTAGCTCCTCAATTCTAAACATCACCACTAGCCATGAAAAGTTGAAGACGTGACCGTACTGCAATTATAGCAAAATTTAAACATCATTACAAATAAACCGCAAGCTTAAGACATTTGGCGATGTAATTTCTTGTATACTCACTTTCAAACGGCAATGATGAACAATTTTATTGGCCAGTTACAAGGCTGGATTGGTATGTATGGAGCAAATGCTGCTTTCAATCAAGTAAATCCAATATCTATCAATAGGCATCCATTTCAAACGCATGTGTCTGTTTGGCATTGGCAAGTTGCATACGACCATAGGCATATTATGAACGATGGTGAACATAAGAATGAACTTAACAAGGCCTCGAATCTATGGTGAGTTACTGACATATTAAGGAGTAAAACGTCACCAACTGCTAGAATAATAGTTCTATCCTCTGTAACTATTAAGTTCATAGTCACATAATGGAAGGTAAAAGTTACTCGGAAACATTATATAGATGAACATGTCTCGTAGGCAACTGAAGTTATGAAATAACGCAATCAAATTCACATCATGTGTACATGCCAACATAACTCTATTAACTTGTGTCAAATAAGTTTTGAATGTTAATGGAACTGTCGCCAAAGTATATGGAATCATCTAAAGTTTTTTGGTAAACTTAATGACAACACACTTGTAAGATATAATTGAAGACTGATCCACTTCCTTTGAACAGATGTTAATGTTCCTGGAATACACTTGACCTCAACTGAACCAAGAGCATATTTCTCACCAAATGAACAAAGAACTTTAACTTGGGATCGACTACCAAGTTCATGTTATTTGTCAATAACATTCTGAATACTTCACAACGTAATGGCTGAATGCTTGAGTTGTGAATAATAAAGGTAAATGCTTCTGTTGTAAACTATAAAGGTAAATGCTTGGGTTGTGAATGATAAAGGTGGGTGCTTGTGAATGGTAATGCTTCACAATGTAATGGCTAACTGCTTGTGTTGTTACTTGTGAGTGATAAAGGTAAATGCTTGTGTTATAAACGATAAAGATATATGCTTGTGTTGTGAATGATACAGGTGGATGCTTGTGCGGTTACACTTGGATACTTTTGATGTCGAGGCATATTCGACAATAAAGATGGCCCAAATATGGTTCAATGGAGAATGATTCTAAGCTTCCATGTATAGAAACATATTTATCAATGTAACTACAGAACTTTTACATTTAATGTTAAAGAAACTTAATGTATAAAAAGCCTGCTAAAATCTTGTTCCCCTGGTTTATATAACAAAGTGTAATGAGGCCTATCTATAAGAGATACAATTGAGATACAAGATTTCATTGTTTTGCTCATCATTATGTTCATAGAACTTAGGCAAACAATTAAGAAAAAAACGAATGAAAGGGTAAGCGCATTACTGCACATTTATGGGAGACACACTAACCGATAACTTCAAGCTATCTAATAAGTTGGTTCATTCAATAAAGCCTTTAAGTTGGGTTATTGAGATAACTTAGTAAATCATGCCATCTGTAGTCAACCATTTGAGTAATTTCTATGAAAGCTCTTCTTAAACAATCATTCATTTTTCGAATACTATCCTTTTCAAAGCTTGTTGGTAAGCACATACTGGTAACTTTCAAGCATTCCTATAAGGTTGGTTCATTCTATAAAGCCTTAAAGTTTAGTACTTTGGTTACTGGGATACACCTAAATCATGCCAATCATCTCTAATCAACCTCAAGACTCGAAACTAAAACATGTGAAACAAGCAACTAAGCAAGACAAGCAACAAGCATTGAAGTTTCAACACTAACCGGCTTAGCAAACTCGATCCTAAGTGGGTTTCCAGAGAGTGAGAAGCCTTGAAGCGACTCAATCGCAGCGAAAGCATCCTCTTCATGCTTAAAGTTAACAAACGCATAGCTTCTTCCAGGCTGAAACGCTAAGCTTTCCAATTCACCAAACCTTAAGAACCGATCAGCTAAGTCTCGTTCTGGTATCCCATGAGGAAGGTTCCCAACCCATAGATGCCTCGACGGAGGATTCTTTGCTCTGCCACCACCGCCACCGCCACCACCACCACCGCCTCCTCTAACTGACTGTAAAATACATACACCGTTACAAAACAAGATCAGCACAGCACACGAACAAGTAGTAGAAACAATGAGAGAGGAGATTGAATTATACCATTGCAGATGAGCAGATCTAGGGATTTTCAAATCACCATCTTCTTCTTCTTCACTGTTTTGTTCACTTTCTACTGCTCACTACAATAATTTAGGGCTCTTCATAAAAAGAAATCCCCAATTTAATTTTGTAACTTCTCTTGTGTTGTGCTCTTCGTTTGATCGTTTGCTTTCTATTGGAACGGTTTTGTTTTTAGTAAAGAACCCTATATTATTAGTTTCTTATCAAATTGGCCCAGATTTTGTTCTTTAACTGTTTAAACCCCTTGAATTCAGTTGGATAAACTAATATTATTTGAAATATGTTATAAAAAAAGTGTTTATTTTATGGTGGATACAAATGATAGAAAGAAATTTAATACTCACAAAATAATCGCGATACTGAATAAATTAAGAGATTGTAGCATTGTTGGTCACTTATTTAAAAATAACTAGTGATGGACCCGCACGTACGTGCGGGGTTATTTTTGCAAAACTACGATTTTTTTATGTAGATACGATTTTGGTCAAAGTTTGTTATATAAGTTTATTTGAAAAATTATACATAGGCATACAATTGTAAAATATAGATATTGTTTACTTAATATAGTTTTAAAATAATTTAAATGAAAATGTTAAATGATATTACGTGTTTATTTTTTAAACTAATCAAAACATTTCTAATTGTTTGCTTAGAGATGTTAAACCGGATTTGGATTTGGCTTTAGTTTGAATTATTTTACGTATAGTTAGGAATGAAAAACCTGTCCTGTCCCGACCCGTCCCTTCCTGTCTCGTCCCAACCCGTCCCGTCTCGTCCCGTCCGGACCCGTCCTGTCTGTATCGTCCTCTATCCATCATATATTTCTGTCCCACAATCGTTTCCTTTTAAAAACATAATTATTTGCTAATGTTTATTATAAGAAACTTGGCAAGAGATCTAGACGGAATACTCGTATTCCTCGTTTAAATATTTATTTTTTCACATTAATAAAACTCTACTTATAAATCTAAGTCACATGCTCCCACCATTTTCATTCACAAGTCACTGCTTCTAATCCGAGTATACACAATCCTTGTTCAATTTTTAATGTTATTGATCGTTCAATTTCATCTTTATTTCCCATTACTTTCTTCAATTCAAAGAATCAAATTTAGCTTTTTTGTTTCCTACAGATTTAGGTATTTCTATTTTTTTAATTCATAGGTTTTATTGTAGTTTTGCTGAGTTAGCTCTCAGGATTTTTTTGTTTCACTTGAATTGTATGTAAGTATCTTTATATACGGTATAATATAATAATGAATTACAAAAATAATTGACTTCTTTATTCTTATTATTATATATCGAATTCCTGCAGCCCGGGGGATGTTTCTTTGTTTTAAATATTTTAACTATTATCGAACATACTTTAAGTTTTTTTAAATTTTCACTTTGAACATTTTTATGC